TGGTCAACTCCCTTTGCTAGACCTATACTCCCTTCTCAATATAATAAACATAGTATACAGCTAGGAGCTTGGGAACAAAGTTCCCTTCCTTGGAAGAAAAGTAAATATGTCTGCAAATCTCAACTGAGATAAACAACTGAGCATTAAATGCAGGGGGGGAAAAAAAAGTCCCATGGGCCCAAACACCCGCATTTGGAAGGAGTTCTTGTGGTTGGGGAAGATTGAAACAGGCGTAATCCTTTGTGTCTAGGAACTCCATATGCGTAGCCCTGGCTGTGGGAGCTGCTGCAGGGTGGGTTCCATGTGCTGTGTGTCATTTTATCCCCAGCACTTAGCAGAGGGCCTGGCACCAAATAAGCACTCAATAAATGTTTGGGGAATGAAAGAATTCCACAACTGTAGTTTATACAGTGTTTTTCCAACTTTTAAAAATGTGGCTCACAGTTAAGAAACACATTTTGCACCAATCTCTGCTACATGCAAACACACACACAAAGTAACACAGAACAGTGAAGCAACACTTTAATTAATACAGGAGATGCGTTCTGATCATTTCTGCGCTGTTCTTTTTATTTGACTCATCAAACTGATTTTATAACAGACTAAAGGGTCTAGACTAGCAGTTTAAAAACAGATTTATACTGTTTTATTTTATACTGCTTAAGCTTGTACATTTATAAATCTTATATATTTACAGATACCCTTTTGGGAAAAAAGCACATTTTTGATCCAGAAGAGAGTTCAGAAAATATTCAAGTCAACTCTAAAGTTTTGCACCATTTATAAATTCACTGTTGTAGGAGTCCCCTTAGTCACTGTTGTTGAATTATGGGGATTTCCTCACCAAAATCAGACTAGCCCCCTACTTCACATCCTAAGAAAAATTTAACTCCATGTGGGCAGGGTGTGGTGGCTCATGCCTATAATCCCAGCACTTTGGAAAGATGAGCTGGGAGGAGTTTAAGGCCAGCCTGAGTCAAATAGCAAAAGTCCCATCTCTACAAAAGAAAAAAAAAAGAAAGAAAAGAAAAACTTCAGTGGATGGAAGGCCTAAAGTAAGAGCCAAGCCTATAAAACCCTTAAAAGAAAACTGAGGAGTGAATTTCATGGTTTTAGATTAGTCATTGATATTCCACTAAGGAAAAATAGGTAAACTGAACTTTATTACAATTAAAAACTCTTGTGCTCTTACTGAAACTACCAAGAAAGTAAAAAGATGATTTACCAGATGGGAGAGAATATTTGCAAGTCATGTATCTGATAAAGGATTGTATACAGAATATATAAAATAATTCTTACAATTCAACCATAAAATAAAAATAATTCAATTTAAAAATGGGAAAAGGATTTAGACTTTTTTTTTTTTTTT